ATTTAAGATTTATATATTTTTAAACTAAATTTAATAATTATATTTTTCATATTTATAATTCATATATATATAATCTTAAGTTGAGTATTTCTAATATAATTAATAATTTTAATTTCTTATTAAAAATAAAATATTCAAAAATATAAATGATTCATACATTAATATATGAATATTTTTTATTTATACATCTAAATATACATTATATAAATATATTTTTATTCGTTGTGTCTGTGCCTTGAACTCTTTCTTCAAGCCTATATTACCTTAAATTGAAGTATTTTAGAATTTAATTGAAGTATTTTAGAATTTATGGTTTAGAATAAAATTGAATTACTTTGGAAATTGGGGTTTAGAATGAAATTGATGACTGTTTTGCAAGTTTTAAAAGTTGGGGGACCGAAATTCAAGTGACTGAAAAGTTCAATGACCGTTTATATAATTTATCCTAATTTTCTAACTGTGGTTTAAGTTGAGGGACCATATTGCAAACGGAATAAATGTTGGGGGACTGTATTGTAAGTTTTAAATGTTGGGGGACCTAAATGCAAGTTTCAGAAATGTTCAGTGACCATTACTATACTTTACCCTATAATTAATTAACGATGACATTGTGAATACATTATTATTTAAAAGAAATAAGATGTACAATATAATTAAATAATATAAAGTAAATAATTTAATTAATTATTTACTCGGATTTTTTGATTTCAAACTCTTTGTGTTTGTGAAGTACCGAATATCTCGTGTTTACTTCTAAATAGTAACTGCATAAACAAAAGTTTACATTCTAAAATAATGATTAAATTATAAATTCTAAAAGATAATGATAACAAATTAACATATCCTTCAAAATATATTTTAGAAATTATTTAAAAAATAAAATAAAATAAAGGGAGGAAATGAGAGTGGGAGTGGACGACCCAAACTATTACCTTTTGTTTTTTTGAGTTAAAATCCAAACATAACATGTTAAAAGAAAATTCCAGAAGTTCTCCTCTCTAATTCTCTCCATCGTTTAATTCTCTCCAAGTCCAAATCTCCCCATTCTCAACCTTTCTTGAATTCTCTCCAAATCCAAATCTCTCTATTCTCAACCTTTCATTTTCACATAATTTCATCGAGCGTCCACTCGATCATATTCTTCGGTGGTGTCACTTTGTGACAATAAACTCGGTCGCATTTTTTTTCAATAGCTTTTTGGGTGAGAATTCCAACTCTTTTAAGCTTTTTTTTTTTGCAATAACTTTTGAAAAACGGTAATAGCGTTCCGTTATCGGCGTTATTTACCGTTACCCGTTAAATCGCGGACGCGATGGACCGCTATCTACGCGAATCCGCTGCCCACCGCTAAATTCTTCAATATCGATTTCGGATGACGGTGCGACCGTGAAATAACGGACGCTATTTCGTTTGCGTCCCGCTATTTAAAACATTGATCAAAACATAGTACACAAAGGGAAGAAACATGGGTTGAAGAAGAAAAAGAAGAAGAGTCAAATGGTTGGTCAAATATTCCGAGTCAGTTGGATTAATGTGCCACATCAGCATTTCATTACTTTTGTAACGATTTGTTAACTGTTGTTAACGATGAGTGACCAATTTGTGACAAACGATAACGTTAGTGATTAATTTGTAACAAATGATAAAATTAGTGACCAGTTTATGATTTTTCAAACATTAGTAGTGAAAACAAATATTAACCCAAATATTAATGACCATTGACGTAGTTTACCCTTAATAAAACGGCCGACATAATTAATGGCAAGACTATTTATTAAAGAAATTATTTATGTTTGTGTTTTTGTCATGAATTTTATTCTTTTTATATTTAAATTTTTACATGATTTCTTTAATAAATATTCTTATTTTCTAATGAAAATAGTTATATTCCTCAAATTTGCGTATACACTGAAATTCTCTCTTGCTCCTATCTTCGGTGTCCGTTTTCGGTATTACATTTCTGCATATTATTTAACTTTAGATGGTTTTTTCGTTGTTTTAATGAGCTACTTTAAATTCTCATAAAGTTATTTTGTAAATTAATTTAGACGATAGACTCGAATTCTAGTCCATGATAAAAATTATTAGATTGATTAATTTTTTATTCGAATTAATATCAGATCAATCAAATTTTAATTCAAGATAATATCAAACCGGTCAATTTTCAATTCAAGACAATATCAAATTAATTAATTTTCGATTCGGATTAATTTTAGGTCTTTAAATCAATTTATATTATGTTATGTATGAGTTCAATCGAGTTAAAAATATATAATATAAAAAGTTATAGTTAACTTATACTATAATAATAGGGCAAACTACTCCAATGATCACTAATGTTTGGGTAAGTTTTAATTTTCACCACTGATGTTTCAAAAGTCACAAATCGATCACTAACGTTATCGTTTGTTACAAATTGGTCACTCGCCGTTAACAGGCGTGACGGAAAACACACGTGGACTGTTAACAGCCGTTAACAGTCTTACCTGGATGGTATAATTACACAAATAATCTGTATATTAAAAACTTGTGTTCGGTTCCAGTTGATGGATATTGGGAGAAAATAGTGTTTGCCGACAAGTAGGAAGGACGGAGGGGTCCGAACCAATGCTTTCCGTTGTAAGAGATGTTGAACACTCTAGATTCATTGGCTTTTAGCTCTTCGAGTTCGGCAATGTGCATATAGACATAGAGTTGGGAACCTGGATCAGTTCTGATGGAGAAGTCCATGGATATATTAGCATTGATTGGTGTACCAGCAGTCATCATGACACGCAACGGCGGACAGTAATCGTTACTTCCGGAGTCAATGACTCAAGAAGTATGTATTTGTTTCCAATCAAGTCTAGTGTAAGGCCACCATATACGATCATACTTGTCTTGTTTATACCTGTGAGAAATTGCTCATTAAAAGCATGATCTGAAGCAAATATGTGTACGTATATGAAATGAAATAGCTTTATACCTAAATGTTTCAGGTGTCGCTGAGGCAACATCAAACCTTCCGAAGTGTTCCAACGATCCGGCTTGAGTTTGATATGTTGTGTTTGGCAAAAGCCTTAGCTCTAATGATGATATGAAAGGAACCCCATTGCTTGTATTAACAAGACTAGGGCTGTAAATGAGACGAGACAGATCGTGAGCTACTCGAGATCGACTCGATCAAGGCTCGATAAATACTCGGATCGAATGGACTCGAGCTCGAGCTCGAGCTCGACTTGATTTCTTAACGAGCCGAAACAAACTACTCGATATTCGACTCGAAAAGCTCGTGAGCAGCTCGAAAATATGTTATATTATAATTTTAGATTTTTTAAAATTACATTATAAAAAATTTATTAAAAATACATTATTGATAATTATAAAATCTTAAAAATATATTAAAAAATCTATAATACAACTACTCTCAAATTTTAATTTTTTTTAATTAAGCAACCCAAGTCTAATTGTTACATTGTATATTACTAAAAGAAAAATAAAAGTTCATTTAATTAAGCACATGTTAGATTACACCCTAAACCCTAAACTCTAAACCCCAAATCCCAAACCATAAACCCTAAACTCTAAACCCTTAATCCAATTATGTGATAGGGTACTAAAAGAAAAATAAAAGCTCATTTAATTAAGCACAAGTTAGATTACACCCTAAACTCTAAACTCTAAACCCTAAACCCTAAGTCATAAACCATAAACCCTAAACCCTAAGTCATAAACCCTAAACTATAAATCCTAAACCCTAAACCCTAAACACTTAATCCAATTATTACACCCTAAACTCTAAACTCTAAACTCTAAACCTTAAACCCTAAACCCTAAGTCATAAACCCTAAACTATAAATCCTAAACCCTAAACCCTAAACACTTAATCCAATTATATGATAGGGGTTAAGTTATGCACATGAACATATAAATTATACAAAATGAAATTAATGAAATTAACAAGGGTTTATATGTAAATAAACTAATAAATCACACTTGGTCAAATCAATTAATAGGTCTATTATAAAAACAAACGGTGATTAAAACATAAAATAAAAATAAATTAACAACCCGAATCATAAAAACGTAAACCTTGATTAATGACGAAATCAGAAGATTACAAATATAACAAGTCCATTATCCGTCGTTGATGCTCTCTTGAAATTTTCTTCTCCACTTCCTTTAACTTTAAATCTGTCCTTCAAATCTGAAAATTTTCTTTCTGTTTGAATACATGCAGCAGTTGACTCCTTCAAATGCTCAGTTCCTTTAGATGATGAATTTGCTAGAGAAGAATCGGCTCTGATCTTTCTAGTCGGATATACTTTTGGCGGTGGTTTAATAGAAGGCCTGGCATCCTGCAGCAGATCATGTTGCAGTGATCTTAATCATGCGCTTATCATGTACAATACTTCAATGTACTTATCATGCTCAATGTACCTGATTTAGACTACCCTCAAATGCACTTATCATGTTCTTTACATTGCTATGTGCTTTCCCTGATAGTCCTGGGTTCAGAATCGAACTTTTGTTTCTGTTATCGGTATAATATTTAGCATCCTTGGGGATAATTAAGGGGACATACACTTGTCTGGCTTCATTGATTAGTAATCCACTTCGGAGTAGACTTTCTTGTGAACCTTGAGAAGAGGCAGCACGCAATACATCAAGGTCAATCCTTTATACAATTGGCTATGCGGTACAAACGTCGAGTAAGCAAGATCGAACCTGAAACTTCACTATGACCAACAGAAGAATTATTGGGACTTCCATGAACACTTTTGCGAAGCTCTTCATGTTTCTTCTTGAGTGCAGATTCCCTCTGAAAATGAACTAAAAAAATATAACTCAATAGTTATATGGCATGCATTTGATCGTACAGCTCCATGCAGTTCATCATTTAGGATAAAATGTGCACCCATGCCTCCAGTAATGGCGTGAGCGGCATCCATCTTGAAACCTTAGGGACGCCACGATTTGCCGTGTCAAAAAGGGGTGTAACTGAAGTTTATTAATTCAGACTAAGCTTTCTTTGGAGACTTGGTTGTCTTCGATGGAGACTTGGGTTCTTTGGCGGCCATTTCAGTCTTCTTTGGCAGCAAAACTGGGTTGATGTTTGGTAAGAATCCACCGTGAGCAATGGTGACGCCGGCGAGAAGCTTCCCCAATTCTTCATCGTTCCTCATAGCGAGCAGCACATGCCTGGGGATGATCCTGTTCTTCTTGTTATCACGTGCAGCTTTTCCGGCCAATTCCAGAACCTGAAATAAAATCAGAAATACAACAAATTAAGAATCATATGAAAGAAAAAGAACCAATCAGTGTTCAGGGTGGAGAATGTGGTGAAGCAGAATCCCAAATTGAGTGAGAAAGAGGAAGGAGTGGAAGCTGAACTCAATAAATAAGAGGCAACTAGCGTGAAAACAAACTTACGGACGGGGTTTATGGGCCATCATTAAGGCTCATGGCCTAGGCTAGTGGCTTGAATCGAGCTCAATATCGAGCTCAATATCGAGCTTGAATCGAGCTCAATATTGAGCTTGAATCGAGTGTTAGGAAAATAAACCGAGTACAAGTAATTTCCCTATAACCAGATTAGTGAGAATGCGAAATAAAAGCGGAAAAATAATACCTGAAAATTGATAACGGAGTTCAGCCAATTGTGCTTACGTCTCCGGGCTGCTGCAGATCTTTTACTAAGAGAGAAAATTTACAGGTGTTTACAAAACACTCACTACTCACAAGAAAGCTCTCTAGTATAGGAAGAAAGAAATGTTTTGGGATGATTTTGAAGCTAAATGGGTAAAGGTATTTATAGTAGAAACTTAGGGACTAATTTTTGAAAATACCCTAAAGTGCAATGACTAAAGTGAATTTACCCATTCCTATTTTCAACAAACATCTACCAAAATTTTACCAAACTTTGAAAAACATTTTTCAAAGAAACATTTACCAAACTTTGAAAAAACATTTTCCAAAGTTGGTTGCCAAACTTTGAAACTTTGAAACTTTTAACAATCTCTCACTTGAAGACTGATTTTAATATGTCTTCACACCTCGATCAATGCAGCAGCATGTATGGTCTTGTTATTCTAGCATGCCAACTGAAGATGAACACAACTTCAGTTTGTCCGTAGTCACCATCTTTGTCAACATGTCTGCCGGATTTTGAGCTCCACTAATCTTTTCAAGTTTCAAAATCCCATCTTCCAGAAGAGACCGGATAAAATGATATCTCAATTGTATGTGCTTTGTCCTGGAATGAAAAGACGGATTCTTTGCTAGATGGATAGCACTTTGACTGTCGCAATACAAGATATTGTTTTCTTGTTTCTTGCCTAACTCTTCCAAGAAACTTTGGAGCCAAACCATCTCCTTGCTGGCTTCCGTAACAGCGACATATTCTGCTTCAGTTGTGGAGAGAGCAACTATCTTCTGTAGTTGAGAAACCCAACTCACTGCAGTTCCTCCTAGAGTATAGACATACCCTGTAGTGCTCCTTCTGATGTCGACATTTCCGGCTAAGTCAGCATCTACATAGCCTGTCAGTATCATATCTCCACCTTTGAAACAAAGTGCTTTGTTTGTGGTACCCCGAAGATATCTGAGGATCCATTTGACTGCTTCCCAGTGTAGCTTGCCCGGATTATTCATGTACCTGCTAACAGCTCCCACTGCATGAGCAATATCTGGTCTGGTACAAACCATGGCATACATCAGACTTCCAATTGCTGAGGCATACGGCACCTTCACCATGTGTGCACGTTCTTCCTCCGTCTTTGGTGATTGGTCTTTGGAGAGTCTGAAATGAACACCTAAAGGTGTACTTACTGGTTTAGCATCTTGCATGTTGAACCTGGAGAGTACTTTGTTGATGTACTCAGCCTGTGATAACATCAAAGTCCCCGACTTTGTGTCTCTCTTGATCCTCATCCCAAGAATCTGCTTTGCAGCGCCCAGATCCTTCATAGCAAACTGCTTCGACAATTTCTGCTTCAAGTTTATGATCTCTTGCATGTTTGAGCCTGCAACGAGCATGTCATCAACGTACAACAATAAAATAATGAAACTATTATCGAACCTCTTGATGTAGCAACAATGATCTGTTTGGCATCTGGTAAAACCACTGCTACGCATGAAACTATCGAACTTCTTGTACCACTGTCTAGGAGCTTGTTTTAAACCATACAAGCTCTTCTTCAACCTGCATACCAGGTTTTTCTTGCCTGCCTCTATGAAGCCTTCTGGCTGCCTCATATAGATCTCTTCCTCCAAATCACCATGAAGGAAAGTTGTCTTTACATCTAACTGCTCAAGATGTAAATTCTCCGCAGCTACAATTTTCAACACCAGTCTGATTGTAGACAGTTTTACGACTGGAGAGAAAATTTAATTGTATTCAATACCTTCTTTTTGCTGAAAACCTTTGACAACCAATCTTGCTTTGTAGCGTTTTCTCCCATCATGTTCTTCTTTGATCCTGTAAATCCACTTGTTATGGAGCGCTTTCTTGCCTGGTGGTAATTCAGCTAATTCCCACGTCTGATTTGACATAAGCGAGTCCATCTCATCTTTCATGGAAGACTCCCACTTGACTGAATCCTCCACCTGCATTGCTTCATCATAGCACTCTGGTTCACCATTGTCAGTCAGCAACAAATAGTGCAAAGAAGGCGAATACCGTTGGGTTGGTTTAGGAATTTTGGAGGAGCGTCTCAGTTCTGGTGTGTGTGGTTCTTCTTGAACTGCTTCAGGATTGATCTGAACATCATTTCCAGAAATCTCCTCGAACTCAGCAAATTCCTTTGTTTCAGCTTCGGTATTACTTGATTCTGCGGTTGACCTATCTTTGTACATCACATTTTCATTGAAAATGACGTCTCGGCTTCTGATGATCTTTCGATTTTCGTAGTCCCAAAACCGGTAACCGAACTCATCACCACCGTAACCAACAAAGACGCATTTGTTGGACTTGGCATCAAGTTTACTTCTTTCAGCAGAGTTTATGTGTACATAAGAAATACAACCAAACACTCTTAAGTGTGAAAGGTTTATTTCTTTCTTGCTCCAAGCTTCCTCTGGTATTCCGCCATCCAAAGGAACTGAGGGCCCACGGTTGATCAGGTAAGCTGCAGTGTTGATAGCTTCAGCCCATAGAAATTTGGGCAATCCGGCATGTATCCTCATGCTTCTGGCACGTTCATTCAGAGTTCTGTTCATGCGCTCTGCTACGCCATTCTGCTGCGATTTTATGGGAACTGTTGTCTCCATCTTGATCCCATTGTTTGCGCAGAAATCTCTGAAACTATTATCTCTGTACTCTCCTCTATTGTCAGACCTCAACCGCTTGACTTTCAAACCAGTCTCATTTTCCACCATGGCCTTCCATTTTTTGAAGGTATCAAAAACTTCTGATTTCTTCTTCAGAAAATAAACTCACACCTTCCTTGTTTAATCATCGATGAAGGTGACATAATATAGTGAGCCTGCAAGAGATGGAACAGGGGATGGTCCCCATACATCAGTATGAACAAATTCTAACCTTTCTGCCTTGGGAGTCTTGCCAATCTTTGTAAAACTGACTTTCTTTTGTTTTCCAAAGATGCAATCCTCGCATAGTCCGACATCTACATTCTTTAGATCCGGCAACTTCCCTCTTGACAGAAGTATCTTCATTCCTTTCTCGCTCATATGGCCGAGCCTTTGGTGCCATAGGTTTGATTTTCCAACAGCATCTGCTACTGCAATGATATTCTCTAAATTTGAGGTTACATAGAGAGTACCGGTCTTCTTACCACGAGCAATGACGAGTGCTCATTTGGTAATCTTCCATTCACAGCCTGAAAAAGTTGTACTATATCCTTCTCCATCAAGCTGTCCAACAGAAATCAGATTTCTTTTGTGGCCAGGAATATGTCTCACTCCTGTCAGCTTCCAGGTGGTCTGGTTTGGCAGCTTTAGTCGGATGTCTCCTTTTCCGACGATCTTCAAGGTTTCATCATCAGCTAGATGAACCTTCCCAAAATCACCACTGACATAGTTCTCCATGATTTCTCGGCATGGGGTGGAGTGGAAAGATGCCCCTGAATCCAAGATCCATGATTCAATCGGACTGTTGACACTTAAAATCATGGCATCACCTGTCTCCTCCGTCATGTTGGCAGATTCCTGTGCGCCGGTATTTTTCTTCGATGCTCGGCAATCTCTTTTGAAGTGACCCTTCTTGCCGTAATTATAACAGGTAAAATCTTTATTTCCTGTTCTTGATTTTCCCCTTCTGGATTTTGATCTGCCACGATTTGAATTTTTTTTCTGAAGTTCTCCCTCTAGACTCCGTGTGCAAGGCTGAGGAGGTTGATGCTTCACTCGATTCTCTTCGTCGAATTTCTTCACTCAATACCAGATCCCAAACATCGTCGAATTTTAATTTGCTATTTCCCGACGCACTGCTGACTGCTGTAACAGTAGCATTCCAACTGTCTGGTAGAGATGATAAGAGAATTAAAGCTCGAACTTCATCATCAAACTCAATTTCCACTGAACTCAACTGGGTTGTGATTGTGTTGAGTTCATTTAGGTGTTGTGCCACCGATGCCCCTTCCGCCATCCGCAAATTAAATAATCGCCTCATCAAATGAACTTTGTTTGAGGCCGATGGCTTCTCGTACATACTGGAGAGAGCCGCCATAAGACCCGCCGTGGTCTTTTCCTTTGCTATGTTAAAAGCAACATTGCGGGATAACGTCAGTCGGATAACTCCGAGGGCTTGTCTGTCGAGAAGAGCCCAATCTTCATCCTTCATGCCCTCTGGTTGCTTTCCTGAGAAAGGTTGATATAGATTTTTCTGGTACAAAAAATCTTCAATCTGCATCTTCCAAAAGCCAAAGTCCGCACCATCGAACTTTTCAATTTTCACCTTCTCTTCAATCTGGCTTCGTTTGGATCGTTTCTGACAATTCTTGCGAATCACCGTGTATTAGAACACCACCGTCGATAAACTCGTATCGCCGACCGAATTTCACTATTCACGAAATTCACTATTCACGTGAATAGTAATGAATAGTAACCTCGCAGAAATTTGACAAAATTCACAACCAAAAGCTCTGATTACCAGTTGTTAGGAAAATAAACCGAGTACAAGTAATTTCCCTATAATCAGATTAGTGAGAATGCGAAATAAAAGCGGAAAAATAATACCCGAAAATTGATAACGGAGTTCAGCCAATTGTGCTTACGTCTCCGGGCTGCTGCAGATCTTTTACTAAGAGAGAAAATTTACAGGTGTTTACAAAACACTCACTACTCACAAGAAAACTCTCTAGTATAGGAAGAAAGAAATGTTTTGGGATGATTTTGAAGCTAAATGGGTAAGGGTATTTATAGTAGAAACTTAGGGACTAATCTTTGAAAATACCCTAAAGTGCAATGACTAAAGTGAATTTACCCATTCCTATTTTCAACAAACATCTACCAAAATTTTACCAAACTTTGAAAAACATTTTTCAAAAAAACATTTACCAAACTTTGAAAAAACATTTTCCAAAGTTGGTTGCCAAACTTTGAAACTTTGAAACTTTTAACATCGAGTTCTTAATATTTTTTTTGAGTTTGAGTTTTTTTCGAGTTCGAGTCGAGTTTCAATATTATATTTCGAGTTCGAGTCGAGTTTGAAAATTTTAGGCTCGTGAGTTTTCGAGTCGAGTCGAACTTATTATAAATGGTTTCGAGTTCAAGTCGAGTTCAGCGATATTTGAGCTCGACTTGGCTCGTTTACACCCCTAAACAAGACAAACATGCAAATGATTTGAAGGAATGGATAATGTCCATTGTTGAATCAGTTGATACATTTGTAAGAACCACGGTTCCCCAGAAATTAGGTCCCAGGTGAAGATCAATCTGGGAATTTCATTTTTCCCATCATAGTTTCCGTAAACAAAAAGTGCTCTGATTAAGTATTTATCACCCGTTTTCAGGCTTATATTATAACAGTTCCGGATCCCTTCAGGAAAGCTTCTCAAATGCCAAGCCTGCTGCTGCACAGTTGCTTGGAATTCAAGTAATATCCTCTCGCTCACACCGGTTTCGAAGTAAGCCGCATCTGATATGTAGTTTACGCCGGTTACGATTTGAGTATAGGACGATTTGGTACAACAAAATTTATTATTCTTTGCCAAAGTTTCTAAACAAGTCATTCTAATATATATATATAGTGTAGTCGACAAAAATTCTATACATGATTTATTTTTTAAAATCTTACTTTAGAAAGATTGTCCGATAAATCACCTCACTTTAATCCTTTTTCTATCATTTAACTTCTAAAATATATTTTTTGGTCACCTAATTCGGTGCAATGACAAAACGTTACATTCAGCAAAAATAACATTTTCCAGCGAAGTAATAACATTTTTGTTCATAAGATAAATGGGTTGTGGCGGTTATAGATGGTTCACTCCTAATTTAGATGGAAAGTTGCAACCGGGAAAAACGATTGTTGATCGATGCTAAGGTTCTCCTTCTTTATAAAGAGATAGAAGAGAGATGAGTGTGAGTGTGAGTGTGAGTGTGAGTGTGAGTGAGAGTGAAGTGGTGTCATTCTTTCTCTCGATCTCGATCAAGAAATTTTATAATAGATTTTGGATCTAGTAATAGACGCAGCGTCGTCATGACTACTCGTAGTCTAAAAGATTAGGTGGATATAATTAGTTGGTGGTGTATTTAGCTCTAGTAAATTATGTGAATTTATCAAAGTCATGTTAATAGATCGTGTTTTTTTTAATAAATATTAGATATTCGAGATTTTTCTTTCGAATACATTCTATTCGTGTCTTCTGAAGATCTCGAGATGTGAGAAGGGCCAAATATATTTTTAGATTCTTCTGAGATACCACGTTTTGATATCATCTAGCCAGCGGTTTAGTTTAGCCATGACGACCTTTCTATCCTCTGTCCGATGGTGCACGAGAGCCATGCACTCACCATTCATCAATGCATCAATCAGATTAATCTATGACAAAATAAAAGAAGCAAAACCAACCATTGATAGACGCATAAAGAGAATGAGAAATAAACAAAAGAAATCATTAAGTGAAAATTTAAAAATATTTTATGTATACAAAAGAAAAAGTTTGGATCAAAACAGTATCAAACTTTCAGGTGAAAATTTTGTTTACGAAACAAAATACAAAATGAGGTGAGGAGAGTGAAGCGGTATGGTAGCCTTGGAATTTGAGGTGATGATCTTGAACTTGACTTTTCCGATCCAGACTGGAGACGGAGCTATGGTCAAAGTGATGACGGCCGTCGGAGTTGGGAGGAGGATGATAGTATAAGCCTGTAGTTTGTGGACAGTGGGAATGGAACCTGGCAGCTATTCTCACACCTGCATCTAACAACTCCGAGTATTTTCCCATTCAAATATTTGTTTAGCCTTTAGTATCTTTCTCTTGCTCCAGACAGAGGATGAGAATTGAGAAAAATGATGAAGGGAGAGTATCGATTTTATAATCCATTTCCCAGTTTCTTTCCGGCCATTCTGACCTTTTCATTTTGTTATTTGTTTCCTATTTGTGACCCTTGTTTTGCCTTTTGGGGGGTTTTGGCCGTTCATCTCCAAATTTCAACGATTTCCAGCCAAATAGATTGTTACAAAGAAGATTTCGCTGAATAAACTTATAATTAGTTTTTTATTATAAGGGTACACTCATCAAATACCATCGAAATTTAGGTGTAAATTTTTATTTTTTTAATTATAACATTAAACTTTGATATTAGTTCCAATTATACCACTGAACCGTTAAATCATTAATAGCACGATAACGTGACTGACGAATGCTAGCTGCTGACGTAGATACCTCACCAAAACAACGTCGTTTTAATACGATTGTTAACGATTTAACGGTTCACTGGTATAATTGAAACGAAAATCAAAGTTCAGTGATATAATTAAAAAAAATTAAAATTTCAATGGTATAAATGATACAACACTTAAAATTATAATAATACCACAATCACCACTATTTTTTATTTTGTAAAGAGGTATTATAATCGCTACTTGTTTTTCTTAGCTCAGGGCCTCAGGCTCAACTTGTCATAAATTCAAACTTAATCCAGATATACATAGAGGCTCAAATTTCAAACTCAACTTCAATCACGTGACAAGTTCTTCGAAAATTCAACACATTCGAACAATCACAAGATAATTTCGATGATCCAATATTAGGTTTTTGTAATTTGTGTACCTAGAGAGGTACATTTCAACTTTTAGGGTGAATTAGATGATCATGGACGCCAATTCCTTTTATATTGTTGTCGTTTTAAATTTATAGGTAGGAATGCTTATCAACGATTATATGAACTAGACCACTCTAGGTTCAGAGTTCAAGCCAAATCCCCCATATAAATTCATGGAACCGAAATGGACTCCTGTTAATTCTATTGTAATAGATGTATAAATATTGTCAATAATCTGTAAAAATATATTTTGCAAAACAAGAAACAATCATAGTGAGAGAACGTGCATGGATCTGATGAAAATATTGAGTTAAAAATTTATCATTTTCATTTCCGATTATAATAAAGAAGAAATATAATGAAAAAAATCTTAACATTGTGATCATAATTTGTTCACAATCTCGGTCTCTTCATGAAAATGAATTAAAAATGAAGTCAGTGAAGTCAAGCGACATAGAAGTTTTGGCAACTCTTGGGTTTGGAAGAGGGTCCTGAACCTGACCCGTCTGGCTCAGATCAGTGGTCACATCGGTGGAGCCGCGGTCGAAGAGGTGGCGGTCATCAGAGTGAGGAGGAGGATGGTAGTACAAGCGTGCAGTTTGTGGGCAATGGGAATGGAACCTTGCAGCTATCCTTATCCATGCATTCAATAACAAGGTATATTTTCCCATTCAAAGGAGAGACATTATGGTGTTGGATTGCTCGGAGGAGGGAGTGAGAAGCTTGTGTTTGATGAGAAAAAGATTAGGGGGGAGATTTTTGCTTTTATAGTCCCTTTCATGTCATTATGACTTTTTGTATTTCGTTTCCTATTTATGATCCTTCTTTGACCTTTTGCATAATACTTTAATTGCAGTTTGTTGAAACAACAAAGCATAATGATCTATTCCATTGTTTAATTTGGTTAATTTCCATAAGTAGCATTGAAATCATCATCATCTTGTTGTTGTTGTTATTGTTATCTCTGCTAGTGTTGCAATCAAATGGCCATTTTGAAATCAGGGAACTGCAGTTCTTCGAGCGATGATGGCGCAGAATTAGTACTAGGGAGCAAAATCTCATGGGGGTTCGATTAACACAACTTTGTCGTTGCAATAACCATTGATATCGTTCATCATTGTCTGGTCGAATAAAGGGTATGTGATTGTGATGCTCTTTTCTTCGTCCTTTGCTTCAGTTGTCGTGGTATTTAAGGATGTTTCAGGCAGCTCCTTGAAATGAAATCCATCTACCACTTTCCTTTTCCTCTCCAATCTTTTTGGTGGACTATTTCTTTATTTTCTTTCAATACCTTTTCATTTAGTAGGAGAGAGGTAGTAATAATTATATTGACGAGATATTAATAATTACACGCTTTATCATATCACCTTATACACAATTATGAGTAAATTTAATTATTAATAGTTTATATTATATTACTCGTATTTATAATATATATATATATATATATATATATATATATATATATATATATATATATATAAATTAAATAGTGCATGTACAATATAATTTTGATTACTCACACGTTATTTAGAGCTAACCCGAACCTGAACTCTGGAGGACTATTTGAAGAGTCAAATAATTATTTAGTTGGAATATGGTGTTTTAAGGGTGCAACTTAGGTGAGGTATTATCAATGGCACCTATTCTTCTGCCAATGGATAAGTTGTGTTGGAACGCCAAGAATTTGTGCTAAAGGAACATTTGAAAATCAACTTAACTTGCCATGCTGCAACTTGAAGCTTGGCCCTACACTCCCAGCTATCATTGAATTGACTTTAATTTAGTTTCTTAAAATTTATATATGTCATAATTAAATTTGAAAAAAAAATATTCTTTTAGTTTCAAACATATTGTTTTGAATTTAAAAATGGGCACGAACCATGTGATTGATAAAGGAATTGTTGTTATTCCTTGAGTATCCGGGTTCGAACATCATAGATGCAGCTTTTAATGTCAAAAGGTTAAGAGTTTACACTTATCTCATATTAATACAAAAAATGTAAAAATTATTTATTTAGTTGCCCAACTTTTTCTATGTTTCAGTTTTGGTCGCTCAACTTTTAGACTTTTCAATTTTATCATTAATTTTTTGGAGTTCTCTCTTTTATGTCTCAACCATTAAGTATTTATGGTCGTTTAAATTTTTGATAAATTTATGGGGGGGGAAACTCTGAAAGTTTCCTCTCAGACTTAGATTTTGGACTCTCTTTAATTCAATGACATTGGATTATTTTCTTCCAAATTCGAATGGTAGAGAATTGATAATGAGGAGATCATAAATATATTTTGATTCTAAGTTGATTAGAGGATGGAAATCACATAAATGGGGAGAAAGGAGAATGTGTCAGATTTAGTTAAATCGCAATGATGGTCATCGTCGATCGAGCAATGTTGGAGAAGGATATCTGTCATGGGAGAGAGAAGATTAAAAGTTCAGGTATATTTCAGAAACAAATACCCAAAACACAACTTTTTGGTGTTGGTGTTTGGAACTTAACGGTCAAGTGACCAAAAAGACCGGAATTTGAAAGTTTATACTTTATAGATAAAATTGAAAATTATAAAAGTTGGGTGATTAAAATAGAAACATGCTGGAATTTATTTGACTAAATATGTAGTTTATCCTTTAAAAATCTGACTCAAAACCCACCATCTTGATGAATACAAGTAATTAAGTTCTTGTGAATAAGTCTAACCCTCAGCGGCACACAAGGAAAATATAGCTGCCCACATGACACCGCTTCACTAGCTACAATTACAATTACAACCGCTAAAGCAAAGTCAATTATCCCAACTCCAACCCCCCAAATAGTCTTATGCGCACACGCAGATCGGTTATTTTGAGTCCGTTTCAATGACAAAACAAAACCCATATGCTTTCTTTCTCAATACACAATCTAAATTCAGCATGCAATCTCCAAACCACAAACCCACATTTATTTATCACCCTTGCATAACAAGGTCGAACAGCTTTAATCACATGTATAAGAATATTCACTACCACCATCATCATTAGTTGGATGATTCTAGGGATTGCATGAAGTATACGCCAGAGCTCTGAGTCTGAGTTGAATAACCCACATATATTACAAAAGCAGCTGATAAAAAGGAAGCATAAACATGTGCTGAGCAATTAAGATTGGGGTTGATTTTCAAGAGCTCGCTTTGGGTTTGAGTCAAACAACAGGACCACTGCCTCTGCCTGCAGACTCAGATTCTTTAGAGAATGTCTGCTGCTTCGGTTAGCTAAACAAAGCAAGCATTAAACAAGACTAAAGTGATCTTAATCATAGGTGCTATAATTGCCAAGCCTTTTGCATATTGAAAAGGTTGTCAAAAACTAAGCCGCCCCTCTCTTTTTTGTGCAGGTGCATGTCACGGACTATTATTCTCTTCTCAAAAGATACGGATGATAACTGATAAGAAGTAAAGTGTCATTGTTTATAAATATCAGAACCTCTATGATATAAGAATAATGTTTTTCACCTTTATGGTATGTAACACAAGAACATGCTCATATAGACAGGAAGATAAAAGGAGCTATCTTATATATATATACATATTAGAAGAGAATATTTTCTGTTAAGGGTTGATCATAATGGAAAATATATAAGGAAAAAGGATAACTCATTAAAATATAATAATTTCATAAATTGAGTTGAAAGGTGTAATGTGGGGGTTTGAGAAAAGATGAGGCTTTTTGGTCAGCTTGGTGGGTGTGTAAGAGCATCATAAGCTTTTTTTTCTGAATTATTTAATTTTGTGATATTAAAATCCCCCTCTCCAAAAGAGGTAAGATGACGGTCAATTTAATCAGCATGCATGTGTGTTTATAGTAAAGGAATGATAAATTGTTATATGGGTAAATTATGCAGATAATCCATTGCTTGTAGGTAACTTTTTAGTTAGGTCACTCGAGTATAAAATAATATAAATCGATCACTCGAGTTATTGAATATTATAAAATGATTATCAACGTTGATTTTTAAACAAAAAAATTGACGTCACATTAATAAATAAATTTAATCGCCGTGTCATTTCCATTCTTATATCCATATTCAAACATGGTTATTTCTAAAAAAATAGAAAAAGAAGAAATTGAACTAGGAAATCAAATAAAAGCCGAAATTAGGAAACAATACATGAAAATGAAGATTCTTTAACCTAATTCGAGTACAATATGAAGTTGTGCTCATAAGCCTGCACGTCCAAGGACAAATATTCAAACGGCCGAGGTGGGGATCAGATTGTTTTGGACCTCCAATTCTTTAGCAATAACCATTTAACATATGACATTGTGCTCTATCTTGACCTATTATTTTACTGCGAAAAATAATTTTTTAATGGCTTTTATACTAGTATATTGTAATATTTATATAAATTTATTGTTAAATTTAAATAAAGAACAAACCTTGTCTCCGGTGCACTTTCAGGTCTTAATTAATCAAGCCTTGTATCGGGAAAGAGCTTATATAGTGTAGAAATCTGAGTTAAATATTCTGCTAATTCCACCTTCTGACGTTTATTCTTTCACTTGCAAAATACAAACCAGAAACTGGTACCTTTAATTAGTAATTTAACCCAGCTCCAAGCCCCCTGCTGCGTACACCTAGAGTTCCAATGTGAAATTGCTCTCTGGCGCGCGTGCATTGACATTTGACGTATTAAAATGAACCAAATTATATACTATATAGTTTTTATTTCATTCAGAAATGCTACCTTCTCTGATATCTGATGCAATCGTCTGCAGAAATATGCTCTTACACGCCCACCCAAGCCGACCAAAAAGCCTTATCTTTTTCAAACATGAAATTATATTATATTTCGCCACCCCTTTTTACATTTTTCAAGTTCTATCTATATAAGCGTGCATGCGTTCAACTTATACTTTGTGAGTACTTCTCTCTACAACAGCTCAAGGTAGATGAATTATTTGTGTTTTCCTTGTTTCTTGATTGCTTTCATTTCTATGTTTATCTTTTGTTGGATGATTTTTTGCTGAAATTTCATCGAATTTTGTTATGTTCCATACAAGACAAACTCCAGTTGCCCAGTACTGACTTTAGCTGTTGCTTTTTTTTTTGGTTGATAATGATCATATTCGTCACTCTTTGGTTTCTTTTGGCCGGATAATAACAAGATTTTTGTTGTTCTTTGGCTCAGATATAGTTTCTTCCATGGATGGATTGGGATGGGTCGACTTTTCAGAAATTGAAGCAAAATCATTGCCTTCGTGGAACAATCAGCGAAACGATATGGAGGATGGTTGTTTCTCAATTCCCAACTCTTCAAATTCTTCCATGTATGGTGCCAAAATCGATGATCTGCCAGAGGATATCTTCTGGGAAGATGCTTTAACACAAGGGCTTTGCTTTTCTCCTTTGATGAATAGAGCTTATGGTAATCAGGTTCACTCACAAGTCATCATTGGTGGTGGTAGAACAGCAGGCTCTCTCGAGTCCTTTGATTGTTTGATGTCTGGTACTAATAGCAACACTGATACATCAGTTGAAGATGATGGGATTTCCATGATTTTCTCTGGTTGTAAAAGTCTATGGAACTTCGCTGCTAGCAGTGCAGTTTCATCAGGAGAGTCTGAAAACAGTGGCTCAAATACGGGAAGCAAAGATTTCAATTGTCTGGTAAACGAGCTCGACGAAATAGTGTC